GGTTTTGTGTTTGTGTTGATTTTTGTTGATTATTTAATGATTTTTATTTATATGTAGTTTCTTATTTGATAAGCATCGTTCAAAAGAAAACATGAAATATTATCATCATAAACGTTCAAAGTGTGCAAAGTGTTTTCTTTGGAATTCCTTTTTCATATAATAGAAAAAAATCTCTTTTTTTGGATGTAACGAAGCGCATACATCAAAACATGTGTGCATTTTTGTAATTCACATTTTCTTTGCTTTAACGTCAATATTATGTTCATCTGGAAGCTCTAATTGTTCTCAGATTCATTAGAATATAAAATGCTTTAGATTTTTGTGGCATGTACAATGCTTTCAAAATATTTAGACATTGTAACTTTTCCACCATGGTAGCATTTTCATGCGTGCATCGTGTACATTTTGCTCTTTATATTAAAACAATATGTCTTTGAGCGTTCAGATATACAAGCAGGTACTATCTTTTATGTGTTATATCTGAAATAAATATCTTTACGTTATAAAATGATAATGATTCAACACTTTAAGATATCAAGAATGAACATCAGCAATAAATACTTTAACGTCAGCTAATGAAAATTGATAATTGTGCTGATTCATTCTAGGAAAGGAAACACAGATATGATCATCATGTAGCGTTTTGAAGATTCATTACGTTCAAGTTTTGTTTGTTTTCTATCCGTTTGGTAGCTTGGTTGGTTGGTTGTCATATTGTGCTATATACTATAAGTATTTGTCTTATATATTTTTAGTCAAAATCAGACTTTTTCTAACGAAAACATCGATATTGCGTTATCGGATATAATAATTTATAACTACATTTTTCGTGAGTAAAAAACGGAACGATTTATAAAAAATAAGCATTACAAATTGAAATTGTTTTCTTATTTGTTCATAAAATATAATGTTCAACATCTATAAACATTAAAGGGTCATTTTAAAAACGAGAACATTCTTCCTCTCTTATAAATCAAACTTGGTAACATTCACCATTTAAGCAACAGTTGTGTTAAATTGTTTCCTGTTGATCGAAACTAATTAATGCATGTTTAATGATTATTCTTAAGTGATCTTACTTTTTCAACACTAGTCCTACATCCCTGTTTCTTAACTATTATCCAGTATATTGTTTGTAAAGAAATATTCTACGATCTTTTATTATTTTATATATAAGAATACCTTGTTTTCTAATAAATCACAATCCTTTGAAAAGGTAATTGTTATAGAACTTTGAAAATGATGTTTTTTCCGACTTGTTTAGTAGCCATATTCACTTTAATTATTCTACAACACTTGCGCAAAATGAATTAACTTTATATTGATTATAATTAATAATTTATAATTGTAACGCAGTCTGTTTCTGTAATATTGCAAACAGGAAACTAAAATATTGTTCATAAACTCGCGATGGTAATTGTCCTTAAAATCTGAATAACCAATAAAATAGTAATAAGAGGTGTTCAAACTTTCCTTTTGTGTCATGCAAATATCTTGGTAACAGTAAGAAGCAAAAATGCATTATCATTTTCCCTCCTGTAGGGGCAATTTCCTGTGTGAAAGTAAAAACAAATGTTATTCTATTCATTTCAATTTTTTTCTGAAGAAGGCTAAACGTCGAAAGCTTAAAAAAGCGTTTGTTTTCATTGAATTGTGTAAATGTAGACATACATATAGATAAAGGTGTTTTTGTACCTAAGGCTTTCCTCCTTTTGTGACATGTTGAGAAATAAGGTTTCTGTATATTTCAGAACTAGAATCAAAACCAACAGAACTGATTATTCCAAAAAGACACCTTAGATTCAATAAACTTGTTACAGCGATGCCAATGATATTGTCTCTCTAAGCAATATTTTAAATAGCATTTTCCGTAAGACGTCTGGATTACTTTTAAATATTAAAGAGCAATAGAAAGAAATATAGATGCGTTTACAGTGCAGATCTTATTAATTTTGTTTGTAACTTTTGTTCTACATCGGATTTAACAGATCATATTAAATTTTGAATTCTTCTTAAGCCGGTGCTAGCGGGCGTGGAAGGTAGCTTGCAATTACATGTACCACTACTGTCTGCTGTAAGATTATTTTACATGACATTACTTTCATATTACCGTTTGGAAAAATAAACACTTTACGAATTTAAGAACCAACAAAAATGTTCTTTGTGACAAACCACGTAATGTCATGCCCACGAAATTTAGTGAATTCACATTACTCAATTTAAACAGTAATGTCGTGAATACTTGAAAACACTGACCGAGCGCACCCTGTTCCGTGTGTGGTATTGTACTTTCGTAGTTTTTTTACGGATTACCAACCCTAATGGTCACCAATAGGAATCAGTTTTTTTTTAAAACCTTTATAATTCTTTTTTAAATGGTATAAAACATTTTATTTTTAAAAAAATATGAAAATTTAATCATCCAAGTTTATGATTATATATAGTTAAGTGCCACACCGCCTCTTTGCATTTTTTGCTGAAATTTAAATTACCATTGCACATTTAGATAACTTATTTTTTGCAGAGGAAGTAAGACTTTTTCTAGAAATTATTTATGTTTTTATTTTCATTTTGGACCTATACTATTACAAAAAGACTGTAAAAAACAAGTATCATTCCCTTTTACATTTTCTTATCATTTAAAATAAATACATGCGAGTATAATAGATTCTCTTTTTCACAGACTCGAAACGACACATCTTTTCCAATAACTAAAATCAGTGTTCATACGTATATACAAAATTTAATAAAAAGTAAAGAAAACAAATACATCTTCATATATATACATGTACATATATAAACAAGTTTCTTTTTTGTTTCTTTTTGTTTTATTTGCATTTATAAATAGACTGCGATTATTTCGTCAGGATATGAAATCCTGTTATTTATGCAAAGGTATTAACAGTAATGTCTTAGATATGTATTCCAGACAGAACACAAAGCAAATCAATTTCCAAAGCTATTAGCAAATCATGCTTCAAACCATATGTGCTTTCTCTTTTACTTTCATAATATTTCCTGTTATCATATTGTTTGCGTCTTGAGTTAATAAGACGACAAAGATGTTTCAAAAGAACCAATCATCATTAGCGCTAGAGTCATATAATATGTTATTAAGAATTAACTTTAATGTCATAATCACTTTCATTACCTTCGCGAGTCAAGGTTCATCAAATTAATAAAAAATATGACGGTATAATTATGAGTTACAAATACCTCTTATACACCAACAAGTACATGATTTGCTTTGGCATCTTTGTTCAAAAACACACGAAGTGTGTGTGTTATGATAATTAAGCCAAAGGATTAATTATTTATTAGCACTAACACCTTACTGTTTTGCCAATTAATGACAATACAAATCTAATTACCAGAGACATTCATGATGTAAACAATATAATAAATAAAGGAATAGAAGTATTTGCTACTTTTGTTCTGCGCCAAACAAACAATGAGTAATGGGTTGGCTGATGAAAAGTGTAATATTACAACTTCTTGCAGATCATACAGGATTGTGTACTATTTAAACCTTTGCTAGTGATTCTGATACTCATCTTACATCCCTAACTCTCTCATATGTTAGACAAATCGCGTGGCGGGCATTAAATGACATCATTTCGACGACGCGTGCTTATGAAGACTTCATTTCGGCGTTATGAAAGAAGTTGGAATTACTTAGGCTACTTAAAAAAAATTGTGCTAAAAACTCGATATGAATGACTATGATTTGTTAGTTGATTCAGGGCCACTTTATCGTGTTAACAGTTATGAACGAGCCATTAATTCCGGTCTGTACTGGAAACAAGTTTAAGATTCTTAATACCATATATATCTTTTAGATTGGATATTATATTCAGAAAACACAAAATATTTGGTTGTTAGAATACAAATCAAAATGGTATCTTATCTTGCAGTGCACATTGCTTTTGACATGACATTTATACCCATTTATCATATAACACTCGTGTTGCCGCTCATTTGCCTAAAATATACGAGTTTTCGATATATATGTCCGTACAGTTGAGAGATCTTGGACAATAAACATGAAGTTAAACAAGTTCAAAAGACAAAAACAAGAATTACAAATCAAAACATCAAAATAAATCTTTTTCATTATTTTAAAAAAAATTTTTTTTATATATTTTTATTATTATTTTAATTTAATTTGCTCTTCAATAATTTCTTAAGCATGCAGTTCACAATCACACCATAGTCATCTGATGCAGATATTATTAAATGTTTTTATTGTGGAAATGTGACTCAGCAGTTTAATTATCAGGGAGAAAATGATCATAATGTAAATTATGTAATGGGTATTCATAAATTGTGTACACTCCAGGAGGGAGAGGGCTAATTAACCTGAAGATGCTGATGATGTAAAGTATGTTCGGACTGAATATTTCTCTTACTAGAAATATAAGGTGATATAAAAGAACGTATTCAGATATTTTAAATCAAAACGAATATATCGCGCAAACAGTTTTTGGAAATGTATTATGAATTTAAAACAAACTTTTATATATATGTTATTTGATTTTGTTGATTTTCAGAGAAAATATGTAGACTAAGTGATACAATCTAGTCTTAAATCAAAAAGGCTTCTGATGTATCATTAATTTCATCAACAACTCGTAAGCCTTTCCGTCTTATTTCTCATTAAATGTCCGGTAAATAAAGAGGTTGTACCGACCACCTTGTTATAACCTACATGCTACTTTTAGAACGGAATGATATCATAAATTACACTTCTGTCAATTATAGTTCAACTACGTTTACAAAACTACATCGAATGAAAACCTAGCATTCCAAATAACAGAAGAACGTTCTGTGTATTCTTTTTAAATGATCTTTTTTAAATGAAACAAACCTCATATTTATCTGTCACATATTCCTAAATAATTGAGTACACTGTATTTAAAAAAAAGAAAACCAACGCTTTCATTTAGCAAAGCCGTATCATTTAACCACCAAAATAAAGTAATACATAAAGATAAGCATACCTTAGAGACCGTCACGCTATCCTTTTATCACAGAGCAATTTTCAAGTAACGTTATCAAAGCATGCAATTTCCTTGTTACATTGCTTCTAAAGAATTCTGTCAGAGGCTCCTTGCAGAGAAATACAGGTTTATCGGACAACTGAAAAATGATACTCTCGCTTAATTTGTTAAAGTAATTTCTTACACTGAATATAGTATATTTGTTCAAATACAAACTAACGCCTTTACAAGTAGTCTACTTAAAATTCTTCTTAAAATTCTACTTACAATTATAGAAATTTCGAACTTATATTAGGATAGTATATTTCAGGATTTGTATAGTTATGTATCATATTTGACGAAGTGCATACTTCCAGGTCACATATTTGGTACATAAGTAATGTAGTGATATTAGTGACATACTCGGAGTCATGTAATAAACTGTGATATAAACTTTGACTAAAATAACCAAAGATTGTGTATTGTGATTTAGATAAATTTCGATGTCCTTTAAAAATAAATCACAATTTTCAATCTGCTGTATGAAATAATAACAAAGTTATTGTATAGCTAGGTGTAAGATCATTGTTTTTTTTGTTTGTTTTTTTTTCTTTCTTTCTTTCTTTCTTTCTATCTTTCTTTCTTTCTTTCTTTCTTTCCTTTCTTTCTTTCTTTCTTTCTTTCTTTCCTTTCTTTCTTTCTTTCTTTCTTTCTTCCTTTCTTTCTTTCTTTCTTTTCTTTCTTTTTTTCTTTCTTTCTGTCTTTCTTTCTCTTTCTTTCTCTTTCTTTCTTTCTTTCTTTCTTCTTCTTTCCTTTCTTTCTTTCTTTCTTTCTTTCTTTTCTTTTTTTTCGATTCGATTTATTAATATGTAAAGTAAGGTGTTTAAGTGTATTATAGGTTTTTAGACGTCCTTAAAAAGTTTATTTTCTCTCATTCCTTGTTCAAACTGAGCAAGATAAAGGTATCAAGGTGCAAATAGAAATACTACTATAGAAACACTACTATTGATTCTTATTGGTGTGAAAAGGTTTAGAATGTTTTATATTTCCGTGACAATAGTTACCAACCTCACGACACATGCCAGCTTAAAGTTAAAGTTTATAATTACAACACGCATGTCAATATTGCCTATATAATTACTACAAGCACACTTTTCTTCTTATATTGTACACAACTTTCTTCTTACATTGGACACAACTGTACATTCTTTACTCTTTACACGTAACACATTCTGATCAATCGTTGATTACATGCATACAAATGCTGTTTTATAATTTGCAGATTTGACATTAAGGAATCGTGTTAAAGTGCTGTGCACTACTAGATATCCTACTTGATATCCTCTCGGAAGTCTTGTGTTGCAAGATGTATTCAGTAACTGAATTCATCCCGTGAAAGGCGGTGTGCCTTGTTGATCTTTATTTTCATTATTACTATATATTGTTAAATGAAGAAAAGAAGAAAGAAACCGTTCTGATAGGTTCTTTTATGTTTCCTTAATAAGTTCCGTTACTGCAATGGAAGACTAAAATCAATAGTTATCACCATTTTATATACAATGTTATTCTTGAATGTTGACTTACACTCTCAGTTGTAGACGATATGTTTGCAGATAAGCTGACTCGGACTGGAATTTACATAAATCTTTCATCCTATAAGCAAATGCTTTTGAAATGAGCGTGTTTCGATAGAGTAAAATCACGACATATTTTTTCTACGGCATTCTCCTTCTCCACTATTCGTTCATATAAAATGTTATGATTCTCGTGAAAATTGTGTATGAAACATCAATTTGAAAGTAAAGTAAATATCTCACTTATCAAATGATACTACCGAAAATATTACTAGGATATCTTATTTCGCAATTAAAAGCAATTAAATGTTTCGTAGAAAACATACTTGATATATCAATACATATCTGGATATTATAAGCGGTTTTAAATTTACAGCCTTGTTTAAAATCAGATGAAACCAAGATCATAGTTACAAGATAGTTACAATATCCGTGATCGTAAAATTTACGGTCCCTCCTTCGATATAAATATATGCTTATGTATGCAGAAAATGAAAATTGCATTTGATTAGTGATATTGATTTCAACGAAATAAAGGTAATAACTGATAAAATAGAATACATATTTCATAATTTTCAAAACTTCTTGAAACCGAGAACAAGTGATCCCTAGAAAGCATTAATCACATAATAACATGAAAAGTACAGAGTTCATGAAGGAAAATAAAAAAACTCCAACATCCCTACCCCCCCCCCCCCTATCACCGGCTTGAGAGGTACTACACGATATAAGCCTTTAAATAGATTGAACAGTGAATAGAATCTATATATTTCATAACTGAACTTCAGGCACGACATAAACATATACAATTTATTATTTAATTTTACCCATGAAATATGGTGCTATATCAGTCAAATATATTTCATATTTTTTAAAAATAAATATGAAATATAAATATGAAAGTGGGCGGAGTCAAAACTCATATTTATTTTCAGGGACTTCTTTCGCCGTTTTGTTTGAAAAATCTGATAAATACAAAACAACTTTTTCTTGAATTTTGTTTTGAAAACTATCTAGCATGATAGAAAATGGTCTAACTAAGAAAATTAATCCGAACACACCAATATCTTTAATTCAGTAATTAACGCTGTACAGACGTTTAAAAAGTTGTTTACATGACGTCACAATGTAGCGCCAAACAGCGCGCGCTTACGCATAAATTACTGCGCGCTGTACAATTGCAGTTGGTAGCAAACAAGGGGATTCGTTACCATTTTCTTTGATAATGAAATTAAATAAAAAGGTTATTTTTTCGTATTTCGTGAAATATGGTATATATTTTCACTCAACATGATAAAATGCCACATATTTTCACTCGCCGTACCGGCTCGTGAAAATATGTGGCATTTTATCATGTTGAGTGAAAATATATTCCATATTTCACGCAAACGAAAAAATATCCTCTTAATATACTTATAAAAGTCTACTTATATCACATGCATTTAATAATGTCTAGAAAATAAACTAAACAATGAAATCTCTAGTGAAATGAAATTTGATTGTGTATAACCACTGCAATTCTCCGCCTATTCCGATGATAAGACTTAGATAAGTTTAAGATACATACGTGTATAAATATACATTTATTAGGGGAATAAACCAGTCTTTACATGGATGATAACTTTACATGGACATTTGACAAATTAAAACGTAGATATTCTCAGTATTCGTAGAGCACTCTTTTACGATCTGAATATTTGATTTACATGATAATTGTAATCATAAATCGTCGATGTATTATTTATTATTCATGACCGTGTTTTAACGTAATGAATCAAGAAAGCCAGATACAAAATTAATGAATGCAATTATCGGATGTATTTTGTTCATGAATACGAATAGAATCTAACAGTGGGTATCGCGTAAGTCTGTCTGATCATACGCGTAACTTGTGTACAGGTAAATCTTTCGGATCCTATCTTCTATTCAATGCCTATGTGGATATTGCGAAGATATGTTTGATGGAAACATATAATGCTTTGACTTAAGCAAATATTGGTTCGGTCATATTCAAGAAGATGTGTTTGGGTAAAGTTTTAGGCGTTGGCTATAACAAATATATGCAAGATTCAATTCAATGCCATTGTGTTATAAGAAAATATTAGTTGTTGGCTATAGCCAATCTTTTATTGAAATTTTCTAAAATTAATTTACTATGCAAAGCAAACTTAACGTGCTTATCTCATCTCAATAATTGATCTATGTCGTTTCGTCCGATAAAATATAATGCCTTAAACTATAGCATTTCATAGTTAAAGTGACAAAATGTGACTCAATCAATTTTGTGCTTATTAACTTATATCATAAAACTGTAAGACGATTGCTAATAATTTCTTTGGATTTGGTACAGATTTGCAAACAAGGCGTTTATCAAGACACGAAATAGCCGCCTGGAAAAAGAAAATATATGATAAAAATGCATTAATTATGAACAAAACAAAACTTATATGTCTACATTGTAAAACATTAATGTTGGAAAAGGAGTTTAGCCTGTCATATGTTATACATGTGCATGCCAAAAGAACAAATATGCATGACCACGAACGCAATTTTATCAATTTTATCTTCAATATAAATGACAACACAAATGTTATCACCTGTACTACTATGACGTAAACATAGCTATAAAGAATGCAACACAAGAATGTCTTTCTTCATGTGTTCCAAAAAAAATGACTTTCCGAGCGACTTATACGACAGCCTAGCATTTATATCTAGGAAATCATGTATCTAAGCCATCACTCTCTTTATTCCAGAAACGATAAATTGTACAGTCATAAGGCATTTAACTGTCGTTTCACTGTTCAGAAAAACTAATAGACTTTTAGGATGCCATTGGCTTATATCAAATACATGCTTATTTAACCCATTGCTTCATGAGCATTTTGTGAAAAATGGCTGTTTTCATTGAAAAGTCTCCCGTTACAAGTTCAAATTGCTATAATACTATAAAAACTGCTTCAACACTAATCAAACTTGGCACAAATGTTGACTGGACCATTGCCCTTGCAACAACATGCTCAGGCTTAAATTTTCTGTTACCATGGCAACGAGGGGACATCTCAAAATTGCCAAAAATCACTATTTTGCGTTGATTTTTTCCATCATAATTGATTTCAAAGTGCTGCAACTTCTCAATGGATTGAGATAGAGTCAAATGCTTTTCAGCGTTGGTTACACGTTACCTTATGATCAATCTGAGGTCATTTATAGCCTCTCACAAGTCCAAAATTTTCTTGGCGATGAGGGGGACTCCGCCCCCCTTCAAACCCCCCAAACAGAAGGGGGCACATCCCCCTTCTGGCAACCCCCTGATGTATCTTTGGTTGGGGGGCCGCGCCGAAAAACTGGTCACTTTTTTTAACAAACATTTCTCAAACAAAACAAGTGTTGGGGGCCTAAATAAGGCATTTTTTCACCATTTGAGACAACAAAAAGGGGGGGGGGTGAAAAAGGCGTTAAAAGGCGTGTATATGAAGTAATGGGTTAAGGTGTTATGAAATATATCAAATCAGGCGATTGCAACTGTTTCAATGCGTTTGTGTCAACGCAATTCAACTGTATTTATTGTACCGTTCTTTAAATAACTTCAATATGATTTGTATATCACCATCATCATCATCTATTTTAT